CTCAAGCATAACCCCATCAGCAGAACTTTCCCACCCCCCAACTAGGAGTCAATCCGTCGCACCACACAGAAGTATTTGTAAGGTCAGAACCTTTTTCTGTACACACGACGCTAGTTTTTTCTTATACTTACATGCTTCTGATCTTAGGACCTCCCATCTTTGCTCACTGTACCTTTTAGGAAAGCTTCCATAATATTTATGCATATTGGTCCATGGTAAATGAACATACATTTGACTTTCAGTCCATCGCTGTCCGTTTGATTCTAACACACTCTAGTCCTAGGGGTCAGAGCTGTTGTTTGTTGTCAAGTCAGAATCGACCCATAGCTGCCCCTCCAGCAGTTTTTCAGGCAGTAATCACACAGGAGGAGACTGCCCATCCTTCTCCTGGGGAGCAGCTGGTGGATTTTAACCACTTTCCTTTAGGATTGCAGCACAGATTCTTACCACTAGGCCACCAGAGCTCCTTAGACAGAGGGCAGAATAGAGCTACTTTATTAGTGTCTCCAACGCTGTAATGTTTCTGGAAGCAGACTTCCACATCTTTCTCCCACATTCAAAGATAACAGTACATGCACAGTATTCTCCTTGTTCTGTGGGAGACAAGAATGAATAAAATCTAGTGTGTGTGCTTGGTCAAAATGGCCATGTCGGTGCTAAATTTTGGGCCAGTGTCTGAAGGGGGGTGGTACTGAGGAAGCAGGAGTGGCATCCACTTCCTAAACAACATGCCTCTGGAAATGATGAACTTTGATAAACGACGATACTTCTAGAAAGGCTTCAGGTCTTTTGTTCATAGGGTCACTATGAGTCATGCTCAACTCAGTGGCAATCAACAACAACAACAACCGTAAGTAAGACCTTTTTAAAAACAGATCATTTTTTAAAGAAAAAAGAAAACCCATATCCTTAGCTTTCCTATTTAAGAACCATTTTCTCTTTCATCTAGACCTTGTTTTCCTGAAGAACAAGTTTCATTCCTATATGACCTTGCTAATCAAAGCAAGTAGGGACGCTCTAATAAGGATTTCTAGACTTCTGTCAAAGGTTTGTCTTCTTCTTGATTTAAATATTCAGAACACAAAATATTTCTAGAAAGCCTACTGTGTTTGACTTTAAAACCCAGTGATCATCTCTATCGCTGGAGAACTCAAAATTGATCACTTGATGGATTCGTGCTCCTACCTGTTGTTAGGTACTACTGAGTCCCTTGCCACTCATGGTGACCCCAGGAGACAATGCAGAGCTGCCACCAAGGGTTTTCTAGAACGTTACCTTCAGGAACATGTGCCAAGGCTTGTCTCCTGTAAAGCCAGTCAGTGGTTTCAACCCAGTTTTCCCATAGCCTCACTAAGGTGTCTTTTCCACTTTTTACATACAACTTAATTTTATTTCCTTAACAGGAGGTTTGAGTCCGTTCCCAGCATTCTCTGACCTCCTTTTTCTTCTATATTTCATTTCCTTCCATCTTGGTGTAGGTGGGGGGTTCTTTCTCTTCCTCCTCAATCTTAGCCTCCTTTTCATGTCCTCATTTTTGTCGGTGCGAATAGATTTAAATTAAACTTTAACCCTAGGTCTTCCTTCCTCCTCATGAGGACAGTGTTCCTTTGACCATAATGGTTTAGGTTGACTAACTCAAGAGTCTTGACGGGTCTTTGTTAAAATCAAGTGCTGACTTTAGTCCATTCTCGGGAGGCTGAACCCTAACCTGAGGACTGGATCCCTACTCCCTAAAGCACCTGCCTTCTTTCTCTCTTCTCTGCTTGCCCTTTTCTCCACCACACTGGTACTGTTTGAATTTGATAGAACATCTCCAAGCCCATGATTATGAAAGTGAACCAGGAAACTTCTCCACAATCCGTTCTTCCTATCCCCACCTCGGCTGTTTTGCATATGGCATTTAGGAGGATTATTAAACAGGAATGAAATAGATTAAGAAATGAGCATAAAAGAATCAATTCTCTTGAACTGTGGTTGCATAATGGAAATCGACTACCATGAATGAACCCATGTACCGAAGTTATGAACAGCAGAGCTAATGTACTGTCAGGAGTTCATCTTTATTATTGCATTACACCTGAATCAATTGATAAAGGAGCTTTTTTTTAAAGCAAGGGATGGCACTTAATTGAATAAAAGTCAATGTAATTATATTAGAAGAGGCCAACAGTACTGCTGACAGCGGAAAAGGGACACTGTTGACCTGAGTGCCAGAGCAGGCCTGCGCATTTCTGCACATCGTTTGCTTGACAGATATTGAGGGCTGGCGCATCATCTAATGAGATTACAGGTTCCTACTGTAAGTGAGAACTGAAGAGAGATCTCTCTTCCTGGTAACATATCAGTGGAGATGTGTCATTTCACAAGTCATCTCAGGCAGGATGTGTCTATGTCGTGATCACTGCATCCATTTGTCAGCATTACTCCTTATGCACTGAGTCTTGATGTGACTGCTGTGCTTCTGGTTAATGCTTTCTCAGCACTGAACCTCAGACATGGGAACTTCAGATGTGCAGGTGGCAGCACAGTGTTCTAGGTGATTGTCGTGGCAAAACGTGCTGGTGAAGCTATGAAGGTGAGGAGTGACGGGGAGGGTGTTAAAATAATAAACAGTAGGATCCCATGAATGGGCCACTTGTCTTTATCAGTGGAGTACATGGTACATGTTGTTATTGTGTACCATAGAGTCAGAACTGACCCACAGCTGAGGCTCTGGTAGGTTTTCAGAGGCAGTAGATTTACTGGAGGAAGTTTACACAGGAAGAGATTGCCTGTCTTTATCTCACAGAGCAGCTAGTGGATTTGAACCTCCTAGCTTTGCCTTGGTAGCCCAATTCCTTACCACTAAACCATCAGAGCTCCATAGTGTACCTCAGTTTCCATGTCCTCATACTAGCTCTGGTGGTGTCATAGTCACACGCCAGGGTAAAGACTCCACTGTGGTCCATGTCCTGCACTAGGCCTGGCAAACTATACTTGGAGTCACCTGCCATGTGACACCAGGGAAGCGGGGAACAACTGTGTCAGAGCAGGGACCTTGGGGACAACTTCTGCTCGTCATTCACATTTCCACACACTGCATGCATCTGTTCAGAACTCATTTATGGATGGTGGTGATGATGTGAATTTGGTTTGTCTTAATTTATGATTTTTGGATTATGCAGCTGATCTGAAAATCATCAAGACAACGTATGATGATGGCTTATGACAGAAAGTGACTTTGTGATTGGAACAATTTAAATCCCTATTTTATTGTTTAAGTTTTAAAAAAAAAAATAATAAAAACCAACCGATGTCTAGAATGTGAATTTGTTTTCTCTCTCTCTTTCTCTCTCTCTCTCTCTGTCTCTCATTCTTGCTTTCTTTTGTGATCGATTTAGCAAAAGATTAGAAAGCTGATCTTATTATCACAAGGTAAGCTCAGCCTTCCTCAGTGCAGTGTCAAGGGGTGCCGCCCTGTGCCCCTTTCACACCGGATGCTATATACTGTCTTGTGTGGAAAGGAGGAGACATCGTTCCTGCCTTTCATGCCCCTTGTGGCACATACCTCTCCGCCATCTCTAGAGAACATTAGCTTTACTTCTCCCCAAACAGGGTGACTCAGTTTGGTCTCCCCTACTCTTTAATTGTTATCTGGAGGCCTGTTGACATTTGGACCAGTCATTTAGGTCGCTTCTAACATCATCATTGTTCCTCTCTGATACACAGCCTCCACCATTTTTGAGAAGCTTCTATCTGTTGGTAGATTTCACTATCAGTCTGTATTTTGAGGATGGTAGACTTCCATTTACGTATTGGCAAACATGTGGAGCTTTTGCAGGTGGAGAGAGGTATATGCCCAAGGTCATTTAAAAAAAAAAATATCTGGGAGATAGTAATAAAAAGGCAATGTTTTCCTGTAGACAGTACCATCTTGGGCTTTGTCAACCACGGCACCCCTATGGATGATTTGGGACAAATCCCATCTTTTTTTACACAAGCAAAGCTCTTATAGAGGAAAAGTTTTGCTTGTCTCAGAAGTATGATAACAATTGTTAAGAAAGAGGGACTGTATGTTAGTGTTGTGCTTGGGGGCTTCTTTTGTATTTACTGTGTTTTAATTTTGTCCTTTTGGGTTCCTTCTGTTGTCTTAATGTAAATTTTTTTAAAATGGTGGGTAGACAGTCATTTTTAAAACCAACTTCTTTTTCTTAGTTTTTTTTGAAAATTAAAATTTTAGCATGTAATACTGAATTAATTTTCCACACTAAAATAAATAGCTTCTGAAATGAAATGTCTTGTATGATTATATTTAACTGAGAATCCCACATCTTCCTGAGAAAGGGGGGTTTGTGTTTTAAAGACAATCTATAACCCTATTTCCAGTTGCTGATCACTAAGCTAAATTATTTCTCCATGAATCTTCAAAAGTAAAGGCACTAGGGGAAGGCTTCCATATTCTTTGAATTTAAACGAAGATTATATAGACCATTTACTTTTTCAAAATGGGCTCTCTTTGTAGCTTTAAATTGTTTGTGGTTAGTGTTTTTTTAAAAAATAAAATCCCTTTCATTTTTGTTGTCATTTTTTAAATGACAAAGTAAATTTGGCCTATTTACTTTAAATGTAGACAGATTTACTTTAAAGCATGTGCTATGTACAGGCGAACAGGATGTGTCTGTTCTTGATCCTAAGACCTCTGCTTGGAGAGCTCTCTGCTGTTCCTTGGGCTAACTGAACAGTCAGTTACAAAAAGGTGTGTGGGTGTGCCTTCATCCCACCATTGAAGACTTTTACACTCTTATAAAAATTATGCTAATGGAAGCTCCCCTTTTCTGCACCCCAACACTGCCACTCACTCCCAAGCCCTGAGCATGTAAGGAAATGTTAGCTTTGGTAAGGGTGTCAGTGAATGTGCTTATTTGATGCCTCCTGGAAGCTGAATCCATTTTAAAGTGCTCTCCTCTTTCTCATCCTTACCCACTCCCTGTCCACCCCCCCCTTCCCTCTTGTTTTCCTAGACACAGTGCCAACATAAACCTGCATCGGAAACTGTTGACCAAAGAACTCGATGACATGGGCCTTGACTCGTCACAGCCCTCCCTTAGCAAGGACCTCCGGGATGAATTTTTGGTGAAAATCTATGGTGCCCAGCACACCATGGGGCTGGACGTCAGGGAAGAGGCCTCGTCCCCCGCGGGGACTGAAGACTCCCACCTGAACGGGTACGCGAGGGGCATGGCAGAGGACTACATGGTCCTCGACCTCAGCACCACCTCCAGTCTCCAGTCCAGCAGCAGCATCCATTCCTCCCGAGAGTCCGACGCGGGCAGCGACGAGGGCATCCTCCTGGACGACCTGGACGGGGCCAGTGACAGTGGGGAGTCAGCCCACAAGGCCGAGGCCCTGGGCCTCCCGGGCAGCCTGAGCGCTGACGTCCCCGGGTCGCTCATGTTCAACAGCTTGTCCGGGAGCAACGGTGGGATCATGTGCAACATTTGCCACAAAATGTACAGCAACAAGGGGACCCTGAGGGTGCACTACAAAACGGTGCATTTGCGGGAGATGCACAAATGCAAAGTCCCAGGTTGCAATATGATGTTCTCTTCTGTGCGCAGCCGCAACCGGCACAGTCAGAACCCCAACCTCCACAAGAACATTCCCTTCACTGCGGTAGATTAGTCTCCAGATGGACACTACCGATGCCAGCGCTCACCAGACGGCCTCTGTATTTGAACTGCCATAGTCTGTGTATGTGTGTGTACTTGGCACGTGTGTGTACATGCGTGTGCCTCCGTGTGTACGTACACGCACACACACATTTCTTTAGGGGGGAAAAGATGAAACACTAGGTGCTTTTGAATTTTTTTTCTTTTTTCATACAGTTTTGGGAAAGGGATGGATCTTAAATGTTGGGGGGGGGAGTTAAAGTACCCCTTTAAACACGTGCGCGTGCACACACACACACACACATACACACACACACACACACGGAACATAACCCAGATTTGGACAGAATATTTCTTGGTCATCTCCAAAGAGACAACTTGTTGTACTTATATGACTGTTGCCTGCAAAAAGAGAAAATTTAATAATAATAAAAGGGGAGAACAAGATGAAAAAAGAAACAAACAAAAAAGGACCCTCTTAAGAGTTGTCTTTTGTGAACTTTAAGGTTTTGAGAGAATCTTCAATTCAAGCATGGCAGACTCACCTGTAAATACTTAGCCTTGACAGGCCAATGATGTAAAACAATTGTATTGATGGTTGTTTAACTCTTGTTTAATTTTTACAGTTACATCCAGCTGTTAGAGATGCAGAAAAAAAAATAGTTTGCTGGCTAGCTCTGTTCATTTATGTTAGCATTAATGCACATTTTTTTAAAGAAAAAAAAAAACAAACATGGTCTTGTTTTTACTACCTGCTAGATAATAGTGGTAAAGAGGTGCTGGCATGCTTTACAGCACAGATTTGGGTTTTTTTAAATGTCCTGTACTATTACATAAATCCAGTCATGCACTTTTTTCATACACTACAAGGGGATGTGTAATATCCATGCTTTTTCTTTTCTTTCTTTTTTTAAAAAAAAAAATCTTTAAACTGTTGCCATACATCAGTAAGTGTCTTTTTTAAAAACAGTTCACTCGTATAAAAATGGTCTGGTCAGTATAGGGCACAAATGCCAAACAGAAGTATTAGTGTTAACACAAAACTGCCAACTTTGCACAAGTTTCCAGAAAAGAAAATACAATTAGTCACTCAGCATAACCACAGGCCAATTTGTCGGCCACCAGAAAACCGCGTTTAAAGAAACACTTGGTGACTCTTTTTCAAGTGCCGAATGTTATTAGAATCAACACTGCATCCTTCTTGCTTATATGTTAAGTTACATAAAAGGAAAACACTGTCATGTGGTGTGAAACAACCAGGGCATTTATTCTTTAGAGGACGGATAATATTTCAGGAGACAAAAGCTGAGATTACTCACTATGGAGTAAAGCTGAATACAGTAAAAGAATCCCAAGGACCCTAGTTCCTTAAAAAGCAGGGGGGTGGAGTGGAAGGTGAGACTGAGTTAGTCTCTTCCAGGGCTGTCTGATTTGTTGCGAGTTCTGCAGTAGTGTTGTGATTCAGGCCCGTTTGATAGACAAAATCAAAAAGATACTTAGCGACAGCAGTGCTTGGAAGCTTTGAAAACATGCACTGAACTTGAATTGAGCAGCTCTCCTCTCTGAAAAGGCAGGAGGGGGCTTAAATAGGGTCTCCTCCATGTTCCGTGTTCCGTGTTTGCCCACACGATTTGTCAGAGAAATGAAACCAAGCAATTGAGAGTGAGACAGAGGAGGGAGGCTCTTCTCCAAACCTTGTTTTGTTTTGTTTTGTTTCCGATGTTTACACTTGTTGCCTGAGCTGGTAAACCACATTGGCAGCCCGGCTACCACAACATACTGACTAAATGATGATATTTACTCTAGTGCAGTCTGCAGCCAAAACCATTAGGGATGCAGCGCAGGCTGTGTTGTCTGTCTGGTTGGGTTTTTTTGTGTTTTTTATTTTAATTTTTTTTTTTTTAAGTGGCACAGGATGGGGAGGGTGGGCGAAGATAAACAAGGACTATTTCATCAAACAGTACACAGTCGTTTAAAAAGAATGTATTTCTTTTCTGCATTTAATGGCCTCAAACATTTCTCCCATCGGTCTACAGGTTAGAGATGTCCCTATGTTGTAACTTTGCTCATGTCGTTTCCATTTTTCATGTGTTTTGTAATTATCTTTTTTCCCCCCATGTTCACATCAGCATTCACTTCCGTTCAATTTGCCAAAGGAAACTGTTGATATGTTTCTGTTGTTGTTATTCCTGTAGGATTTATTGTACCTCACAGTATTTATTATTTCCAAAAAGCATCATTAGTTGGGGACTCAGTATAATTTTTTGTTGTTTATAAAAATTTCAGAAATAGATTTTTTTTTAAGATAAGCTAGATGTGTCCAGAGGCTTCATCTTTTCATCTCCTTCAGAGGTTGCTACGGGATTCATTTAATTCTTCATTTGTTCTACAGCATGGAAAGACCAAAAGTATTTGCAGTACAAAAACTGTCAAACACTATGTTAAATGACAAATGTTTACGGTCAAAAGCTGAGGAATTAGTAATAACCGTTTTTATTTTCTTGTATTTTGGAGTTCCCCAGAAGTCTTACTTGCTTTATTTTGGTTGTTAAATTGAATAGACAGAGATGTTTTCCTTTGTGTTATACCATGTATGACTCTGTACAGTATGTTTGTGAAAAGATTGAACTAGAAAAATGAACATTTGTTTGCAAACATCCTGGCCCTCTTAGCGTTCTCTGTGTTGCGCTGTTGCCCCAAGACAAAGCGGTCTTTTTAGATTCAAAAAGGATGGGAAAGTAGTTCTAACATCCCAGCAAGATGCCCTGACTTTGGGGTGTGCATAGACCAGAATAAATTAATTACACCCAGGCATATGAAAATAAATGCACACTTATTTCAGCAACCTCTGCAAGGTGCATTCTTGGTTGAGATGCTAGAACTCATCTTGTGCAAAATCAGTGTTTGTTCTGTTTAATTTAATGTCAAGTGAAAGGTCATTTGGCCCCAGCGAGTGAATCACAGCTGTCAACAGGTAACATCAGCCGATAAACCAGACTTAGAGCAAAGATTTGTTACTTGCCACAATTCAGGCTTGTGTGTACAGCCAGTTAGAGAAAGTCCACGAAGATAGAACCTGATTCTAGAATTAGAATCTCCCTCTGTTGGAAGCATGAGTATTTACCTGTGTTCTGTCCGATAAATGGCAGCAAGTTCTGAACAAGGGGCACATTTTAAGTGTGTCTCCTATTTGCTACTACTATTAGTGCTTGGATCTTGAGTATCCAGTTGGCATGGAGGCATTTTAATGGGGAAAATACTATTTTTCCATATAAAACCTATTTGCTTGAAAGGAGAGGAAAAAGGCTGGCATCAGCACATAAAAGGTGCGATCATGTGATGTCCATTCTCCTAATCCCACAGTGTTGCTTGGTTTTGAGTGTGTGCCTAAGAGAGGTATTTTGACTTCTCTGTAATTCTAGTTAGGAGGTGATCTCCAGGCTTCCTTGAAAGTAGGACATAGATAGAGATCATCGCCCATTTGTTTTCAAAGGCGTTTCCACTTATTAAACAGTTTGTCTCTGGCTGCATCCATTCTGTGTTGGCTGAAAATTAATAATGCACATTCTTGGAAGCAGCGTTTCCCCATTTGATTGGTTTCAGACAGGATTTTATCACAGGTATATAGCAAGGCACTATTCATACCGTGCATGTACCCTAGCTGGTGTGGAAACGTCCTGCTAACCATTTTCAATTCTGGTTTTGTACATATCAGAGACACTTTGTTTTAGGGAGTATCTGCATGTATAGAGGGGGGAAGAGTTAGGGGATGGGTAATTTGGATATGCTGAAATGTTGGCAGTCTTGGTTCTGCTATTTTTAAATAAGGAAAAGTGTGTCACTTCCCACCTGATAAACATTCAAGTTGAAAAGATGTCATCTCCTCCTTTTTTAAAAGAGGAAACAAACATGACAAACATTTTTTTAAAAAAGTTCACAGCGTGGTACCACTCTCCTTGTGTGACTGATTTTGTCACAAATTTCTAGGTCCTTCCATTGAGAGGAGAATGGCATGTAAATGGTCAACAGTCCTGTTTGTATATACATTGTTCTTAAAAAGGAAAGTTTTGAAGTTATCAAGAATAACTTCCAGAGGCTCTCCCCCCATTTCCCTCATGAGAAATGATGTGTGTGCTGGGTTCTCCCCCTTCCAAAGACGAGTGCCAAACCAATGAGAAGAAGGACCCTTTGCAGTGGAAAAACAAAGCAGCCCTAAGTAGCCAGATTGAGATGGACACTCTGCCAACTGCTCACAGCCTGACCTGAGCCGTCCTAACTTGTACGGGCCTGTTAGCAGTGGGGGAGATTGACAAGAGTAAATAAAATTCAGCATTCCTCAAAATGCTACTTCTATGGTCGTAAATCATCCAGAAGGAACATGTCTTCAGTTCCTGGGATACACCTCTTAAGAGCATCTTTTTAGAATTCAGAGAAGTTAACTTTGATAAAAAAATGACCCCCAACCTTAGGAGTCTTTATATAAGGGAATGTCCCCTCTCATTCTTTGTTTAGTCATGGGAGATACTTACATAGTTTGATATTTTAAAAGGATGTTTGGCTATTAAAGAGAGGGCAGTGAAAGGCAGGTGCCAATGGTATTGGATCAACTGCTTTCCCTTGAGAAGAATAAGTGATGCTTAGGCGAAGATCGGAACCTACCCTGGGAACTCTAGTGTCCTGATTAGTAAGAAGCTGCACTCTCCACCCCAAGGCAGGTGGTTCAAATCCACCATCTGCTATTTGGAAGCAAACTAGGCAGCCTTCTCCAAGGCAACTTGTGGCCTCTGAAAACCTGCTGGATGGTCAATTTTGAGTTTATTTGAGAAAAAGAAAATAGAGACAGTCCCTGAGCCTCTGACTTAACACCTACTCTTTTAAAATGTAAATTTGCCCTCTCTTTGAACCAACAAATTCAATCAAGTCAAAAATTGCTCACAATCACCTCCACTTGCTGCACAGGAAGCTTTTAAATCACCGACAAGGCTTTGAGCTGCCTCTTGAACTAAAATAAGGCTAAGTAAGACCTTAATGCAGCTTGTCCAATTTTCCTGAAAGTTGTTCAAGATACAGGAAGAGAGCTCATT